TTTGTCGTATTTTGTAATTTGTCAAATGGACTATTTTAACGATGTCCTTACTACCTTTCTGGGTCTTGAACGTGTCAGTTGCATTGCTGTCTATCAAGGGTCAGAAAGCTCTCGGATTTCATCAAAGATAGAAACAACATGAGGGTGAGTAATTAATGACAGAAGTTTCATTTTTGAGTGAACTATCCCTTTAAATGTCTTACTGAGAATGTTAAAATGCGGTATGGTTTGTGCAATAAATTAAACCACTGGAATTTAAAGGAGAAATCTTTTTTTTTTTTAAATTTATGCATTTGCAAAATCTGATCCATGCATACTGCTGGACCCATGCAGTTCATGTAAGTAAGTAAATAAATAAATACATTTCTTATACATTTTAAATAAATGTAAACAAAAATGAATGGATAAATAACTGAACAATAAAGTTTTTAAAGCTACTTATTTTTACTTTTATACAATTCTAGTATTTGAGGCACTTGATGTTTCATGTAAAACTTCAGAAGTTCAGAAAAGCAAAACCAACCACTGAGACTAACTGATTTAGTGAATATAAGGTCATTATTTCAACATAAATTGACCAGAAGCCAATCAAATGACCCCAAAATGCTAGAATATGTGTGCCTATGCATTGGATCCCCTGTCAACAAAGTGGATCCAGCTGTACAGTCAGAGCGGACCCCAGCACACTCCAGACCTCTATCTAAGCCACTCCATAATGGAAGCACACATAATGGAATATTTCCCGTATTAAAGGTTCCTCTTAAAATAAGCATTTGCACATGAAAAGACCTGGTGACTCATGGCTGTCTGCCTCTCCTCAGTCTGACACAGAGAGTGAGAAAACTGGGATTTGAACACTTCAGACAATTTGACAGACGGCTCACTTTCACTCAGGAAGACTAAGCAGCAAGTGAGCAGCAATAAATGAGAGTGTTCCTGTGTTTTTCTGTCTTCAGAAATCTGGACACACGTGTTATAATTCTTCATCATTTCATCCATCATCATATTTTGATGGATTACTGTTGCCACGATTGATAGAAAATGTACACAAACATCTCTTTTAAATAGTATTCATTCATTACCTTCTACTTTCTACTGGCAGGAATAGCTCACCATTAATTACAGCGGGTAAATAGAGCTGAATTTTGTGAATAAGGTGCTATAATGAACCTAATTTACATAGAAAGCAGGTATGTTTGTGCTAAAAAATATGACAATGACAATTTAAATATTCACAGTGCAGAAATATTTCAGCACTGGTTAACTGTATTGTGGGTGGTAATTGAATAAGAAGTGGGTTTTTGCGCTGGAATATTGCACGCAAAAGTGGCAACTGTTTTGTGAATTAAAAGTAAATTAAAAGAGTAAAAGTATTTTATTTTTTGGATTACGAGAATAGGAGCATATTAATCTACTCTAAGTTTTTGCATTTAGTTTGTTCAAGATACACTGAACATCTTAGACAAATTCTACATACTTTGCATGTCATCAAGTGTGTGTATTTCTAGGTACCCGTCATTACAGCGCCTGTCCAAAGCCTTTCCCTGTATTTTTCTCTTGGGGATCAGCAGTGACAGCGCTGGTTTATGGGTGTCAGAAACCTTGGCTGTTGCCATGGCAATGCCACACTGCAATACTGTGAGCAGGCAGACTGCGCTTGCTGCAGCATCGACACAAGAACAGGAGCGAGAACGGTGAGCGTTGCAGGAGAAACCTGCTGAATGCTAATCAGCCCCTCCACAGTTTGTCCTTCATCAGACCAGAGGAACACTCGGGATCTACATTAACCTGGGCTCACAATCTCTCTCTATTCTAGAACACATACCAATATCTATAAGGGAAGAAAGAAACATTTTGTTTTGTTTGGCAAGCTATTTATGATCTGAAAAGCTAATTTGCTCTGATTCTTCTGTTTGTGGGTAGCTGACAAATAACATATCAATGAACTTTTTTTTTTTTTTACCTCAAAATTTAAGATCAGTTCTACAGCTATTTTGATGCTTCACAGATCTAGAGATTTATGTGATTTGTTAATGTTTTTGAAAGAAGTGTCTTTTGCTCACTGAGGCTGCATTTATTTGATCATAAACCCAGATATTGAAAATAACTGTTTTGTATTTTAATATATTTTAAAATGTAATTTATTCCTGTGATGTGAAAGCTGAATTTTCAGCATCATTACTATTCATTAGTCTTCAGTGTCACATGATCCTTCAGAAATCATTCTAATATGCTGATTTGCTGCTCGAGAAACATTAATTCTTATCATTGATGAAAACAGCTGTGCTGCTTATTTTTTTCAGGATTCTTTGCTGTATTTAGAAAGTTCAAAAGAAGAGCATTTATTTGAAATACAAATAGTAATGTCTTTACTTTCACTTTTAATTCTTTTTTTTTTTTTAAATGATACTTGGCTGTTCACATAAATAGTTTTGAAAAATATGGTGTGAGAGATTATATTTAAAAAGTTCCAATATTACATGTCTTTTTAATTAATAGGAGGTCCTAGAAACTACTATAAAATTATACATGAATTAGAGAACAGGTTGTTTAAAATGGTTCTGGAATAAATAAAGCATGTCACACTGCAGGACACTGCTATACATGTCAACCACCCTCATACACTTTAATAAAGAACAGGTATAAAACTTTAAAAATGCTCTGCAAGTTCTTATTTTTTATAACGGCAGTGCTCTATGTAGGACATATGGCCCAGTTTTTTATTTTACTTTCTACAAAAGTTTGAGTTCTTAATCTGAATCAGAGGGAGCTGAAATGGAGCCTGTTTTCAGCAGAGCAGTTTGTGAATCTCTAAACACAGAAGTTTGCCGTTCACATCAATGCTGTCCGCTGCGCTCAGATCTGTTTACGTTCTTCTGTTTCAAGTTCCTGACAGACTGTCCACTGTAATTGTCTCCAGCCTCACAGACATTACTTAATTTTAAATAAACACATACTCAGTGTCCTGCAGCAGCGAACAATGGTTTATTCCAGAGCCAAAAGTTATGCAGCGATTCTTCAAAATCACATTAGAATTAAAGTTGAGTTGGCACTGACAGAGATTCAACTGTTAACGGGTCGCCAAATAGCTGTGCTGCTGGTTACTAATAGTTGTGCCTACTCAACGCAACAATATCAGGCCACAAATCACTGTCCCCAACAGTCACTGGTAAATACTGGCATCAGACGGCTAACTTTCATTTAAAAGGAATGACTTTTAAACTGTTCATTGCTAAAAATTGCTATCCCTGTGAATGCCACTTAAATGGCTTGCTTTAAGCCAAAATACATGGTCAAATACAACCATTCTCAACCATTTGACCTCTGAGAAATGCTTATGGCCTGAACTAAACTACATATACAGTAGAGGAGGAAGGAGAAGCTCGTCTAAACACCCTAGAGTGATGGAAAAGTTAATGGGCCCTAACACCAATCAATCTGCACTAATCTCCCTGCCAAGAGTTCTCCAGAGAGACAGCGGCCATGATTCCATCGGTGTGACGGCAAAGTCCACTCAGCCACATCGCCTGTTAGTCGCCAGACCTTTTACTCTCTAACACACTAAGTACAGGGATCATACACCTCAGGATTAGACAGACAGATGAAATGGAAAGTTGAATGTCATTGAAAACATGTCTTTGAAGGGATAGTTCACCCAAAAATAATAATTCTGTTATCATTTACTCACCCTCATGTCATTCTAAACCCATAAGACAAAAACCTGAGAGGTAACTAGGTCACCAAAACTTAGAAGGTCCAAAAAGGTCAGAAAGGCATCATAAAACGAATCATTATGAATCAAGTGGTTTAATCCAGGTCTTGTGAAGAAATATGATCACTTAATACCGTATGATGGCTTTTATTCACATATAAACACACATGCATATAGCACATCACATATGATAAACAGAGAAGTGCATGTGTCACGCACTAAAACAAACCTCATTGGTTCTTGTGCATCATGCATGTTTGATCTTCTGCGTTTACATATGTGATGCGTTTATAAGTCGATTATTGATTAATGTCAATAAAAGCCTAAATTAAAACATATAATCATATAAAGTGATCATAATTCTTCACAAGGCAGTTTGGACTTGTCTTGTTGTATACAATGTTTAGTTACTTGCACAGACTGATCATATTGTTTCATAAGACATCAATAAATCATCAGGAGCCATGGGTATTAATTTTGTGTTCCGTGATATGCTTTTTTATTCTGAAAGATGGCCAGCCAGTGACTTGCATTATATGAATCACCAAGGACCACGGCTTCAGCTAAAAAGAAATATTCTTTGCTGTTCTACTGAATCAAAAAAGTCATCTACATCTTGGATGACCTGAGGGTGAGTAAATTAACAGCAATTTTTTGGGTGAACTATGCCTTTAATTTGTTTTTCGAACATTATCTAAAATTTCATGGGTTTAGATCGACGTGAAGGTGAGTAAATAATGACAAAATTCCCATTTTTGGGTGAACTATCCCTTTAAGTTATAAAACACAAATCAAGGTAACTTTAAGAACCATCCACTACACAATCAGGCCTGAAATTGTCCATTTTAGCTTTGCTTCCAGCTAATCATGTCCAATCATTTGCGACAGCGTCTGACTAAAATCCATGAACGCACATGACTAAAGCGAGCAGATGTTCAAAATGTCCAGCCTAATTTGAAGCCCTGCTCAATCACACACTTCCCCCTCTGTGTGTCAGCACGGGACGGGCTCGTCCGAGTGTCTTTTTTTCCAAGCAATTGTGCCAATGTCCCACATTCCAGTTGGCCTGCGTCCCCAAACGCCATGGATGTGGGGGCGGGGCAAGACGTCTCACTTCCTGAACCAAAAATAACGTAGATGGTAATAAATCCTTGACCGCTACGTACTCCCCAATGATCCCAGCTCCCTGTGACTATGATTTAGTTGGGATTGATTAACCATTACGACCCAGTCGAGGGATTCTGCTGAATCGTTACATACAACATTAATAATAAGCAATCAGACTCGCCTCCAAGCTGTACTCTTCCACCGTTCTCTTCAGGGGATCCACGATCTGCCAGCATATGAGGATGCACAAATCAATCAGCAACATGCCACCCACGATGATAAAGAGCTTCTGGTCCTTGATAATCTGGAAGAGAAATAAAAGAAAAGCAATGGATGAGGTGATTAAGGGATGAGAAAGAGGCCGAGATGGGCAGGAACCATCAATGGACTATTCGCTCAATTCAAACGCATGATCTTCTCTCACATTCTGAACCTTTGTGGATGAAAGCCCTGCTCCTGTCTGATCTTTTTCTCTTTTCTTCTATTTAACAGTGGTTGACCTGAACAGAACCCAAATCAAAGGAAAGGTCACCGCGAGGATGCCTGCGTGTATTCTAGAGGAATCAGACGGCGGGAACGGACAAATTCTTCCGTGATTCAACACAATGAAACAAGGAGGTGGTGGGCCACCATTGAGCATCATGCTGAATTCTATCAGAACGGATGCTCTTTATCTTCAATCAAACAGAGGTTGATGGTTTCATTAAATGGCCAGACATTCAAAATAATACAGGATCATGATACTTCAGAACGCATTAGCACAATCACAAAGAAATGCTTGTCCATATGACCGTTGAACTTCACTGTATTGCACAAAATCTCCTTTCATCTCGGCAAACGGAAGGTGATGATGGATCAAAAAACCAATAGCAATCCTAAAATCCTCCCTCCACACTTTACGGATACAAATAGCCCATGAACATAAAAATTAAGGCAGAGGTTATTTGTGCAAATATAAGTGCAAATAACAACAGATGCTATTTACAGTAGGTGAAAACAGCAGCTTTTTCTTTGCACAAATGCTATTTATACTTTATACTACAAATAGTGGCAGATACTCTTTGCACCTCAGCATATTGGGACCTTACCAAATTTTGGTTGTTCATGTCAAAAGCTAAATGAAATGTCCTTACTCTCCACACCACTCTACCACTCTACCAAACACACACCATTGGCTGAGCAATAATTTGACATGACCGACCAATTAAAGGGATAGATCATGTAAAAATGTAAATTTAGTCTTCTTTTCTCATCTTCCTCATGTATTTCAAACCTAACGTTCTTTCTATTGCAGAACACAAAAGAAGATAATTTAAAATTCGTCGCTTTGGAATTATTAGGTTCTATTTGACATTTTTGTCAAAATTTAGTTATTCACATATTCTTATTCTGTGACAACTTATTTACATTATGTGAGGTTTCTTTTGTAAGCTGTATACATTTTGGGCCTTTTTTTTAGAAAACAAAAAGGGATCTATCTACAGAAGTCTATGGAATGCAAAAGCCTTGAAGTTCAATATCTCAAAACTGCTTAGAATGCAGATAGAACCTTCTAATTCCAAGGCAGCGAAATGTATCAGTGTTTTTTTCAATGAAAGTCAATGGGGTCCAATGTTCTTTTTGAGAAAAAAAGAGAGTTTTTTCTCTTATAATTTCTCTTTTTTTTTGTCTTTTGCAGAAAAAGTCATACAGGACTGGAGGTTAAGTAAATGGTGACAAAATGGTCATCTTTGGTTGAACTATTCCTTTAAACAAACACACAAATGGCTTAATTATAGACGTCTGTGCACATTAAACTGGGATGTAGTGCTTTAACATCGAAAGAATGACACACTTCACCTTTAATGTGGCTAATTATGAGCTTGTAAACCAATAACATTTAGTTTTAAGACCCAATAGCTCTGTTTAAGCTTTTGTATTCACAGTTCAAATTGCTCACCATTTGTACAAGATTATTGCTGCAGGTCTACAAGAGCATGTGGTGCATTAGTGTCAGATTGTGTTTGTGCTCAGTCTAAGTTATGCAGGCCATCATGTTCTTGTGTCTGATTGAATTTACAAATGCACACATCCCTGATGCCATGTATTTGTGACACAGTATGTTCCATAATGCAGTCCGAGTCTCTGAATGATGCATGATGCAGTATGCAGGTTTACGCCATACAATAATGAATATTTAAACTTATTTGTCACCCCAAAAAAGATTTATAACTGTAGATATATGCTAAAAGGAGAAATCAGACTGATAGACCAAAGAAATTCAAGGCTTAAAGGGATAGTTCACCCAAAAATATGGGTGAACTCACCATCAAGTCTTTCAAGCAGCAAAAAAGTTGTAGCAGCACCATAAATGTTTCCAAAAAGCAATCCATATGACCTGTGCACTTTATACCAAGTCGGAAGTCATATGATAGCTTTGAGTGACAAACAGTTATTTACTAAACATCTAGACATCTGTTGAGAGAAGTAACATTGTTTGATTCATCATGATAGAATCATTCTTTAGAACTGAATCTTTTTAATGAATCAACTGACCTGGTTCACAAAACCTCTTTGAATGATTTGTTCTCAAGTCAGTTCACTGACTCAATAACAGCTGTCTGGAGAGGAAGATTATCGGTGAATAATGACCACATTTTTTCTGTTTTTCACACAAAGCTATCACATGAGTTCAGAAGACCTGCACACAAGTCATACAGACTGCTTTTATAGCATTTTTTCATATATTATTTGCATTTTTTTTTTCAATTCCAATTTAATGGAACTGCAAGGAGAGGAGTGACCAGGAAGGTTTTCAGATTTCATACACTTTGAAAAACATTTAAACTGTTTTTGGCCATGTGATGAAAGTCAAGGGTCTCCAAAACAACACTAGACAACATTCGTTTTGAGGGTGAGAAAATGATGACAGAATTTTAGTTTTTGGATGAACTATCCCTTTCATACTAATAATCTGTGGTCCAACTCATTTTACGGAAGATAAATGCATCTTCAATCAACTGAAATCTGCACAAGAGAAACAACTAAAAATGAAACAAGCATGCTGTATAGTTTTGCATACGTGTTTGAGTGTGTATCTGCTCCATCTCCCTTTGTTCCTATCTCAGATTGAAATCTAGCAGAGGCAGATGTATGATCCTCAGAGGTGATTGACATTGCCCTCGCTGCGCCTCGAGGCAGGGAGAGACTGTAATGGACCCCTCGGACCGCCGGACCTGCATCGAACGGAGGCTGATTTGCGACGGGCTGTCCGCAGAGTCACATACTGTGAGACTGCTTCTCAGCTTGATAAAGAGATGGCACACCCACATGCACACTCACAAAACACAGTCCTGACAGCAGCCATCGCTTTAGAGTGCCAAAGCCCAGCAGTCCATCACTGCGTGGAGCAGGAGTCAACTCACTGTCAGCTTCCTGCACACTGAAGTGCCGGAGGGAATTAAAGCCCTGAGCCTGGGCATTACCTGTCTCTGAATTTATTTATATGTAGTGAGTCCAGTTAAGAACTGCTAATTAAGTGTGAAAGTGCAACTGAAGAGAAGACACCAGGGAAAAAAAATGGACACTCAATGTATCAAACTGGAATTACATCACATACTCCTAAACCTTTGTTCGTAACTCCATTATCAGGGAAAACTGGACTTTTGTCGCTCCTTAATTCGAAAATAAATAGAAATAAAAGATTTTGACATACTATGTATACAATGCAATGCAATATCGAACAAGATATTTTAACTTTAATCTGACTTTATCAATCATTTGATCAGAGTGGTAAATGTTAACAATAGATCAAAGATGCAAAATATAAATTTTTAAGATGATAACTAGACAGCAATCTATTTAGAATCTTGGTCCAATATTTTAATGCTTCTAAAAAGGAGGGTAAAAACTGCACTACAATAATTAACTAAATTAAAAACTAAATTTTTATGAAACATTATCCGTGGACTTAAAAAAAAAAAAAAACTGCCGAAAAAGTAAAATATGGCCACTTAAAAATAATCTTCTGGGTTAATTGAAGCTCTACTGATATCATCTGGGAAATAAAATTGGCTGACATAAAAAGTTTCAATATGCCACTTACAATGGAAGCACAGTAAACATTAAAATATACTTAAAATATATTACACAGTTTTAAAAGTAAAGCCTTGAGACTTAAATGTGTGATAGAATTGCTTAATGATCACTTGGAAAGTTTAGTTACATCAAAAATGTTATACTTAATAAACAAGCTTTTTAAAATACAAGCTTTGCGTTTCACCATTTAAAAAACTTTTGCTTGGTTTACTTACATTGTAAATATGAAAGCTCGGAAATTGGCATTCTACAAAATGCTGTCAATATTGTAAAATATGTATTGAAGCAGTACTGTTATTGTTAACTATAACTCTTATTTGTTGATTGAAATAAAGCAGATATAAAATAAGATATAAATATTAGAGGAAAAACTTGCCTTGGCAACTAAATGAAACAAAATAAGATGAAGGGAAAAAAAAAAAAAAAAAGAAATTAAAAGCTACTGTACATAAAAATTTTTTAAAAAAAAATAAAA